AAATATATATTTATTTATTTTTCGTTAAAAGCGAAAGATATATGTATATATTTAATTTTGTTTTATTTGAATATTTACATAAAATGTATTCGACACCTGAATCCGAATTTTCTCGTTTTTCTCGCCGACCGACCGACCCTTTTTCCATCTTATTATTACGTCATATTTGTTGTTTACATTTTGAATAAAAAAAAAAAATTTATACGATCGTGGAACTAGAAGACAATTATATTAAATTTGCTTTTTTCTCTTTTTCTCCAACGTAAAAACGAGCGACACGAAAACTTTTCATAAACGTTTTAGTAAATTTTAAAGAGAGAGAGAGAGAGAGAGAGAGAGATTTTTTTCTCTTATTTTTAAAAAATTTTTTTGTTTCTTTTTTTTCCGGATTTTCGACAAAAAAAAAATAATAATAAAAATAAGCAAAAACAAAATGTCCCGTTTCCAAAAAAAAAAAAAAATTTTTTTTTAAAAACAATGTTTTAATCCCAAACTCTTGAAATATTTCAACTCCTCCTCCTCTTTTTCCATCCCTTCCTCCCCCCCACTTTTTTTTGTTTACCTTCCTCGTTTCCAAGAAAAAAGAAATTTTGTGAAATTTTTATTATTATTTTTATTTTTTTTTTCCCCGTCGTGGAAGAAGAAGAAGAATACAAAAAAAAAATAATAATAATAAACTTCAATAAATGCAAGTCACATATTTTTTTAATGGCTGGTTCCCCCGCCCTCCCCAAAAAAAAAAAATTTGTCAAAATTTGACTTTTAGCTTTTTATACCGAAACCCCCTCTTACGTCGAGTGATGTAAACTTTAAACTGGAAATTTTATAATGTATATATATATAAATTATATAAATGGTGGTAGTAGTAGTAGCGGGGAAAATAAAATAAAATTTAAAACCGAAATTAAAAATAATAATAATAATAATGTTTTTCGTTCGATTTCTCTTACCATTATTATTATTATTATTATTATTATTATTACTATTATTATTATTATTATTATTATTACTATTACTATTATTATTATTATTATTATTTTTTTTAGATATATAAAAAAAAAAAAATACAAAGATAAAATTTTCAAGTCGTTTTTATTTTTCCACTTTTGCCAACGTTTTAATAAAAAAAAAAAAAAAAACACCATTAAAAAAAAAAAAGGAAAAAGAAAAAAAAATGAAATTTTCTTTTTCTTTTCTTATCTTTTCTCATCTTCTTCTTATTTTCCCTCCTTTAAAATTGATTTTTTTTTTTTTTTTTTTTTTTTTTCGAAAGCAGAAGACAAACTTCATTAAAAAAAACTAAAATATTATTATCGATAGTTTTTTTTTTTTTTGAAGTTTTCACCCCTGAAATCATTATTGTAATATTTTTTTTTTTTAATCGCGTCGCGTTATTTTTAAATTTACGCGGATTTTTTAAATTTACGCGCGGTTTTTTTAAAATTTACGCGGATTTTTTAAATTTACGCGGGATTTTTTTAAATTTACGCGGGTTTTTTTTTTTTCAATGGCAAATTTTAACCTTATTCCCATTAGACTTTTTTTTTTTTTTTTTTTAATATTTTTTTCAATCGGTTTTCCTCTTCTTTCCTTTTTTTTCATTTCTTTCCTTTTTCCAACCCTTTCCCATCTCAATTTATTCCCATTTTTATTATTATTATTATTTTTTCAATGGGAAAACTCTTAAATTAACTTTTATTAATCGTGCAGCAAATCAAGTTTTTCCTTCTATTTTTTTTTTTATTTTTAATTAGGTTTGATTTTATTTGATCAAAAACCAAACCGGAAATAGAAGAAGGTTTTTCTCGAGTATTTACCGAATAAAAAAAAAAAAATCTTTGAATTGAGGCGACCGTACGAACTAGAAAACTTTTCAAATATTAATATTAAATTAATTAATTAATTAATTTTTGATTGCATTGACGACCGTATTATTATTATTATTATTATTATTATTATTATTATTAATTGTTTGTTTATATTTACTTAATTATAGTAATTTTATAGAGCGAAGAATGAGATCGCTATAAAAAAACGAGTTTGTGTCTGTGTGTGTTTGTATTCAATTTAATAATCAAATGTTTATATTATAATAAATGGGAAAAACGTAAACAATTATCATTATCATTGTCGTCGTCGTCGTTGTCGTTAAACGTTTTATTTATTATTATTATTATTATTATTTTCTTCATAATTTTAATTTTGAGCTTTTTCCGTTTGTGTAATTGTTTTATCGTTTGTAAATTGTAATTTTAATACAACGTTTTTTTGATAATAATGAAAATTCGAGGATTTAATCATACGAAATTGTGTAAATGTTTTATATAAAGAGAGAGAGAAAGAGAGAGAGAGATAGAGAGAGAGAAAGAAAGGAAAAGAGAATTTCAATTTTTGTTTTTCTTCTTTTCCTTTATAAATACTATAAAAAAATGGTCGGAGTCTTTGGGGGGAGGCGAGACGAGGGAGGAGTTTATTTTTGCCCGGGGGGGGTTGCAAATATTTTGAAAATGTATGCGTTTACGTAACATATAAACAAATTACGTATTTTATAAATGAATTATCGAGACGAAAAGCTCACTACAACCAACATGACAAATATTATTACTTTATCGTTACATCAAAAAAAAAAAAAAAAAAAAAATTTATAATAAGATAGGATTTGAACTCGGTACTCCCATTTCCCCGATCGACTTTTCTAACCACCTCACTACCATCATCGATTTCAAATCAAAAAACAAACGAAGATAAAAACAATTTTTAATTTTATTCAATGTCAAAACATTTAAATAAATTTATCGAAGGTACGACAATCGCAGCTTATACGGCCATTTTTTTTTTTTTTAAATATAAAAAAAAGGAATTTTCAACGTCGATAATGAATCAATAATAATAATAATAATAATAATAATAATAATAATAATGATAATAATAATAATAAAAAGTTTTTCCTTTTTTTTTCGAAAGTCATAAATAAAATTTGCGTTTTATATTATATAAATCAAACAAAAAAAAAAAAAAAATTTTTTTTAATTTTATTATTAAAAAAAGAAAAAATAATAATAATAATAATTTAAAACTTTTTTCCCTTATTTATTATTATTATTAAATTATTGAGTTTGAAATGAAAATTGGTTAAAGTTTTCTTTTATTTTTTATTTAATACATTTTTAAAATCAATATATATTCTTATATATATATTTTCTTTTCTTTTTAGTTTCAAAAGTCATACCAACTTTAAAAAAAAAAAAAAAAGAGCGAAGAGAGTCGTTTACATGAAAGAAAAGTTTTCTTTTTTTTGTAATTTATTTATCGATGGGAAAAACTTTTTTCTTACGTATCCCCCCCATGTTGAGTTAAAAAAAGTTTTTTTTTTTTATTATAAATTGAATTAATAATGAATTTATTTAATAAAGATAAATTTTTCTTTGTATAAAGGTATAACAATAATTTAAAATGAGGAAAATGACGTTTTCGAATGATTCATGAAACGTGGGAATAGAAGAAAAGAAAAGAAAGAAAATCACCGAACGTACGTTAATTAATTAATTAATTATTTTCTTCGTTACAGATCGAAAGTGGCATCAGCATTGTTAAATAAACACCTGCAAATAAATGGTATAAGTGCGGGTTTGGCAACACTGCCTCATCATGACTGCGAAAACAATCGAAATTTTCAACCCATAGCGATAAATAAAATGAAAAGAGAAAGAAAAGCAGCTCGAACTTTGGGTATCATAATGTCCGCTTTTCTAGCCTGTTGGCTTCCGTTTTTCCTATGGTGAGTTTTTCTTTATTTTTTTTTTCTCTTTCTCTCTCTATCTCTCTTTCTTCCTTTCTCTCTCTTTTTTTCTTTATTTCTTTTTTTTTTATTTATTTTTAAACGTTTAAAAAAAAAGGTGAGAAAATTGTGAGGAAGAGGAAGAAAAAGAAAAAATGGTACGAACGAAATAAAAAAAAAAAAAATTTATTCTTATGACTTTTAACCTTTTGACCTTGAGGGGAAATGAAAGTTTAAAAATATTTTATTTAAATAAAATTCGGTTTTATTGGTTCCCCCATCGCCATTGTTTAAAAAATTTTTTTTTTTTTTTTTATTAACGAACGCGTCGATGTGAAATATCGAATTAAAATCCCAAAAAGAAAATTAATAATTAATAATTTTCCCCCTCTTCCTCCCCCCGTTTTTTTTCTTCTGCTGTGATTTTTCCCCCTTCCGCCTACCCCCGCTATCGAAAACACTCTCCTTTCTCTCTCTCTCTTCCTCCTCTTTCTCTTTCCATCTTTAATTTGTTTTAATGGATTTTTTTGATTTTATACGACTTGACGTTTTAATTCTGGCAAAATTGTTTTTTTTTTTTTTTTAGTATTTTTGACCAATTTTTTTTTTACCCTCCATTTTTATTTCTTTAATGAGAGTTAATTTTCTTTTTTTTCCCCCTCGGGGAAGGGGGAGAGGAAGTGGGGAAAGAGAAAGAGAGAGAGGAAATGAGATTTACAATTAAAAAGATTTATTTATTTTTCTTTGAGGAAAAAAATGATTATTATTATTATTATTATTTTTTTTTTACGTCGAAGAAATAATGGGGGGCCTGAAAAGAGAGAGAGAGAGAGAGAGAGAGAGATAGAGTAAGAATTGAAAATATAATGGGAAAAATTATTATTATTATTTTTACGGTTGAAAAAATTCCCTTTTTTTTTTAAATATGGCGTAAACGAATAGGAGAGGAAGTAATTAAATGTAAAAAGAAATCACGGGTAGCGAATTTGATTTATTATTCATTTTTTTTTCTTTACGTAAATCGAGAATGAAATGATTGATTGATTGAATGATTGAATGAATGAATGAATGATTTCGAAAATAAATTAATAAGAAATTCGCGAATAAAATTATATATCGTTAAAAAAAATCTAAAGTTCGTTACCCTCGTTGAAATTTTCTCATTTTTTTTTCGGGGGGAGGAGGAAAAGGGAGGAGGAAGGTCGTCCTCCCCCTCTCCCCTTTCCAACGTTAAGATTTCGTTACAATTTTTCCCGGTTTTTTTTTTTTTTTATTGATTCAATCAACTATTTAAACACGAATTTGTTTTTTTTTTCTCCGCCATTTTTATTTTAACTTTGTTTATTTATTTTTATTTTATTTTCGCGCTATTTTCCTCGTTTTTGTTATTTTCTCTCTCTCTCACTCTCTCTCTCTTCTTTTTTTTTATTCGAATGTAACTCAATTTTTTTCACCAACGTTTTCTCTCTCTCTCTCTCTCTCTTGAACTCCCTTGCGAAAATCATCATAAATATCTATCCTTTTTTTTTTTTTTTTTTTTTTCATTTTCAGGTTTTACGTATTCCACAGCTTTTCTTTCCATGGCATTCCATTATTCCATTTTTTATTTTCGGTTCAATCAATTTCTTATCTTTTTTTATCTGACGTCAGACTCGGAAAAAAAAAAATTTCTATTCCGGATGTATATACGTAAAAATTTATTTTAGAGTTTCTTTTCCCTTCCTCTCTCTCCCTCTCTCTCTCTTTCCCTCTCTCTCTCTCTCTCTCTCTCTCTCTCTCTTTCTCTTTCTCTTTATTCATTTCATTTGTAACCGTTTTATTTTTTTTTTTTACCTGTCCTTAATATTAACATTCGTTTCGAATTAATTTTCCTTTTTTTTTTTTTTTTTTTTACGTCATTACAAAGATAAAAAAAAAATATACGCGAGAGAATTTTTTTTTGTATTTTATTCAAAAGAACAAAACATGGAAAGGGGGGATAAAAAAGGAGGAGGGAAGGGAGGAGGAGGGGGCGGGTGCGGAAAAAAAATTGAATTCTGTTGTTTTGTCATTTTCAAAATCAGTCAAATATCAAACAAAAATAGAAAAAAAAAGAAAAATTTTATTTTATTTTGTTTTTGACGTTTTTATAAATAAATTTTTTAGTCTTTTTGGTTTCTTTTTTTCCTTACTATTATTATTATTATTATTTATTTATATTTTTATACGAGTGAAAAATGTAACGTGGAAGAAGAAGTTTTTGTAATGTATTCTAAGATGGAATTTTTTTTTATAAAAAAAGGGGGTCAAAAGAAAAGTTTTAAGTAAACGATTTTTTTTTTTTGTTAATAAAAGGACATAAATCAAATAATCCGAGTCTAACGCCACGTTAAATTTTCTTTTTTTTGTAACAATAGACGACTGACAGATACGAAAAAAAAAAAAAAAAACAATTCATTTCTTACGTTCGACAAAACTGATTTACGATGAACAAAAAAATAAAAGGAAAATTTTAAGGCGTCGAAAAAGGCGGGGGGAGAAGGGGGAGGGGGAAAAAGATTTTTAATAAGAAAAATCAAATTAAATGTCTGTTTTCTAACAGTAAATTTTTTAAAAAAAAAGGCAACAAAATGTAACCGAAATATTACAAATAAAATAGACAGACAGACGAAATAAGAAGAATAAGAAAAAGTTTCTAGAAACAAAATAAAACTTTTTATTTTTTTTTGGGGGGGTGGAGGCGGGGGCGAAGGGGGAAATATTTATAATAAAAAAATTTAAGGCGTAACATATTCGTTAGAAAATAAATCGTAAAAAAAAAAAAGATTCATATATAATTATAAAATTTACAAAGTTTTTCTTTTTATTTAAAAAAAAAAAAATCTAATAATAATAATAATAATAACAACGTTTCGTTTCATTTAATTTTATTTTTATTTTAAGTTTTAATAAGTAATTTTTCGTTACGTAAAGTTGGTAATAAAAAAAAGAAAATTTAAATATTTTTCATCCGGAAAATGAAAAATAAAATTGTCAAAGGAAAATGAATAAAATAACAAAAAAAAAAAAAAGAAAAGTTTTATTAAAAACGAAATTGACTTAATTTTTTTTTTTTTTTTTTTTTTTTAAATTTAACTTTTTACTTTGTTCTTTCAAAAACGTTGTATAAAAGTAAATAAATAAAAACTTTGTAAAATTTTTTTTATTTTTCCGATAATTTTTTTACTTTAAGTAATAAATTATACAAAAAACAACAACGACAAAAATAATAATTAACAACGATAATTTTTCATTTTTTAAATATTGGCAACATTGTTTTTTTTTTTTTCAATCCGGTGCGACAAAACAATAAATAATTTTTTAAAAAGTTCGACAAAATTTTAAATTAATCGAACCCAAGCGTGACGTAAAACACGTCACTTGTTTACATTTTTTTTATAAATATTAAGTTGGCAACCGTGTGTTAGGAGGTTGTGTCGTAAAAGGCTATTATTATTTGTTAATTAGTTTATTATATTTATCCTCGGATTAATGTTTAATACAAAATACACACACACACACACACACACACACGATTATTATTAATATCACGGTTAATTTACACAAATCTCTCTCTCTTTTATAACTTTTTCCTTGTCGTTGTTGTTGTTGTTGTTGTTGTTTCTCTTGTTCTCTCGTGTTTATATTCCTTGTCGTATCATTTTACGACAAACAAAAAAAAATCGTTAAAAGAATTTTATTATTTTGTCATAATTATTATTATTATTATTTTCAGGTACATAATAACATCGGTTTGCGGTGAAAAATGCGATTGTCCACCAGGTGTCGTTGCGGCTGTTTTTTGGTTCGGTTATTTCAATTCGGCATTAAATCCGTTGATTTACGCTTATTTCAATAGAGAATTCAGAATCGCATTTAAAAAAACATTGGAAAGCTGTTGTAAAATGATATTGAGATTGGAAACGGAAGATGATGATCTTTGCAGAGCCAACAGCGGATGCCAAAGTAATAATTATTTGAGGTAAAAATAAAATTTTTTTTTTCTTTTTTACCCCCCACCCCCTCACTCCAATCATCCACCCACCCACGCGAAACTCTGATCGACGAGCGATTAAAAAAAAAAAAAAAGTTTAAATGAAAATAAAATTATTAATTTAAATTTTTTTTTTTTTTTTCAACCCACGCGAAACAAGTAAAACAAAAAAAAAAAAATCTAAAAATACGTTTTTTTAAAAATGAATAATAATAATAATAATTGCTCGAAGAAAAGCAGAAGGTGGAAGAATCAAATTTTAAAAAAAAGGGGGAGGTGAGAGGGAGAGGAGGGAAAAATATCGAAAAGGAATCGATTACGTAAGATTTTATTACCGAGAAAATTTTATTTAAAATATCAAAAGGAAAGAAAATAATAATAATAATAATAATAATTTTTTCGTTTCTACTCGTCGTAAAATCTCCATTGACAGATTTTCTATACCAATTAATCGTTTAAGTCGTAAATAATTCACGTTTTCACTCCTCCGCCCCAACCCCCCCCCCAAATAAAAAACATCACATTTTTATTATTTTTTTATGTTTTTTATTTTATTTTAAAGGATTATGATAATAATAATAATAATAATAATAATGGGGATATTTTTTGAATGTGATTTATTCACCGTTTCAATTCATATAAATCATCATGAAAATCTCTTTCTCTCTCTCTCTCTCTCTCTCTCTTTCTTTCTAACTTTCTCTCACATATTCCGATGTCGTTTTTCCACCCGGGTACGAATTTTAAAAATAAAAATTTTTTTTTTTTTGAAATTAAAGTGTAAAATTCAACCGGGAAAAAAATCATTCATTCATTCATTCATTCATTCATTTGTTGAATCGGATAAAATTCATTTCGATTCGGTTTTCCCACCGGGAGAAAGGAGGAAAGGAGGGAGGAAGGGAAGAGCGAAACGTGATTATATTGTCACAATGTAAATATTTTTAAAAAAAAATAATCGGAGGGATTTTCGGTCATCATCGTTAATTTCCGGGAAATGATTCATATAACGAAACTCGGTAGAAAGGGGAGGAGTTTAAAAAAAAAAAAGAAAATTTCCGACCAATCAGAATCGAGAATAAAATGTTTGTTTACGTTTTTTTTATTAAAGTCAAGGTCACTCAGAGTTTTGTTTACTTTTTGACGTTACGATGAGGAGGAGGAGGGGGTGAGAAAATCGTGAATGAATTTTTTTTTCATACGGAATAATTATTTCTAGAATTTTCTTTTAGGAAAAGGTTTTTAGTAAAACTTGTAAAACATGGGAATTCGAATAAAAAAAAAAAAAAAAAAAATTTGGTTTTTATTTTATATTCCCTCCGCGGTATCTTTCACCCCCGAGAATTTTTTTTTTTTTTTTTTACTCTATTTTCATCCCTTGAGTAAAATAAAAATGATAACCTGACTTTATTTTTGAGGCTTAGATAAAAATTATTATTATTATTATTTCGGCATGAGGAAAAATATGGAAAATTGGAACATTTTATTATATTCGACAGGATTTTCCATTAAAAATTTTCTTTCTTTTTTTTTTTTCCAGAAGTTTACAATGAAGGGGATGATGATGAATGACGTAATTATTGGAAGGTTTTATTCGAATACGAATGATAATAATAATAATAATAATAAACATATCGTTTAACAAAAAATTTGTTAACGCGATTCGTAAATTATTAATAAATAAATAAATAAATAAAGTCAATAAATAATTTTTTTTTTAATAAATAAATAAATAATGATGATGATAGTGATGATGATAATGATGATGATGATGACGAAAAAAACAAAAAAATTTTTCGATCGTTTTCTGTTTCTCGTTTCGACGAATTTTACGATTTTTTTTTTCTTCTAAATTAAATAATAATAATAATGATAATAATAATGTCGTCAAATAATAAAACAATAATAATGATGATGATGATGATGATGATGATGATGATGATGATAATGATGATGATAAAAAAGTTAAAAATCTCATAATTAAGCGTGTAGCGATTAATTTCACGTCGGATAAATTTTATTATTACTATCATTATTATTATTATTTAACGACGACGGATTTAAAAAAAAAAAAATTTATTTGTAAACGAATGAATCGATCGATTATCGATTATCGATTTATTTTTTTAAAAAATAAATTTAGTTTAATTAGTTTTAGTGACCAAAAAAAATTAATCGTAAAAAATTTCGTCAAAACGGAAATGATCGATCGAATTTGTTTTAGCTCAATTAACAAATAATAATAATAATAATAATAATAATGTCCGACGGTTGATAATTTTTATTGATTTTTTTATTTATTTAATTTTTGACAATAAATTATTATTATTATTATTATTAAAAATTGTTGTCCGTGTTATAAATAAATATGTATATGTGTTTAAAAGTTTTTTTTTTTTCGTGTTAACATTTTTGTATAAAATTTACTTTTAAACGTTATCATTATTATTAAAAAAAAAAAATTATTGATAATAATAATAATAATTATAATCCGTCGTTCGTGTTTATAAATAAAAAAAAAAAATTTTTTTGAAATGAATGGAAACGTGAGAAAATAAATAAAAATAACGGAAAAGAATAAGGAAATAAATTTAAATGGCGGTTAAATAAAATATTTTTTTTTTACTTTTCGATAAATCATTCTTTCTCTCTTTTTCTCTCTTTCTTTCTTTCTCTTGTTGAATTTCCCAAAGGTTTTCTTTTTTTTTTGTTTCTTAAAGAAAATATCGGTCTTAAATAAATAAAAAAAACATTTTAACGAAAAACAATGGTAAAAGTTTTCTTTAAAAAAAAAAAAAAAAAAAAAAAAAGTGTAAATAGAATAATGTCGAAAAGGAAAAATGAGAGAGAGAGAGAGAGGGAGGGAAAGAGAGGGGGAGGAAGAAAAGAGATGGAAAAAAAGTGAGAGAGAGAGAGAGAAAGAGAAGGACAGAGAGAAACAGACAGAATGAGAAAAAGAAAGAGAGAGAGAAAGGAAAAAGAAAGAGAAACGGAGAGAAAGAGATGGAGAGAATGAGAGAAAGATGGAAAGAATGAGGAAAGAGAAGGAGAGAGAGAGAGAAGGGGAGAAAAATAGAGAGGGGAATAAGAGAGAGAGAGAGGAAAAGAGATAAAGAGAAAGAAAGATGGGTAGAGGAATAGAGAAGGGGAAAAAAGAGAGAGAGAGAGACCGAGAGAAGGATAGAGGTACAGAAAAGGGTAAAGAGAAAGAGAGATAGGAAAAGGGGAAGGGGAGAAGAACAGAGGAAGGGGAGAGACAGAGAAACGGAAAGAGAAAGACGAAGAGAAAGAGAGAAAGATGTAAAAAGAGAGGGAAGAGAAGGAGAGAGAGAGAGAGAGAGAGAGAGAGAGAGAGAGAGAGAGACAAAATTTAAATTGTACGTAACGTTTTCGTTATTTTATTTTTGTCAATGAAAATTTTATTATTGATAACATTGATAACGTTTAAAAGTACGAAAAATTTTCTCGTTTGCTGGAAAAATTATTTATTTGTTCAGTACGTTAAATGTTTGTTATCAACGTATATACGTATGATTGTATCTTTTTTTTTTTTTTTGGAAATTATTTGCTGTGCACAATCATAAAAGAAAATATAATTTTATTAACAAAAAAAATAAAATAATAATAGAAAAAAATTTGTTTATTTATTTTTGTTTAAATAAAAAACTGAAAAAAAAAAAAATTAAATTCCAGTAAATTAATTTCTTATTCTCTAATTCGTGTCATTTTTTTTCCTTCTCTCTCTCTCTCTCTCTCTTTTTTCCGATAATAATAATAATAATAAATAATACGTTAACGTGAATTTAAAAAAAAAAAAAGAATATCTTCAAGTCGGTTTTTCTCTAATGAGAACATTAACAAAAAAAAAAAAAATTTTTTTTTTGTCGCAGATTTAAAAAAATTTGTAAAATTGCGACAAAAATTTTTTTTTTTTGTTTTCTCTCTCAGAACGCGTAAAATTGATTGAACTTAATTTAATTTTCATTAATTTTTCTTTTTTTTGCTCTTGTTAGCTTTTCCGCATTAGGTTTATTATATAAATTATTATTATTATCGTCATTTTCCTTTTCTGATCGCGACAAGTTTCCCTTTCTTCATCCTTTCCTCCCTTACCTCCCTGAAATTTTTCAAGTTTTTTACACGATTCTTTTGTTGTAAATTTTTTTTTTTTGTTGGTTATGTTGATTATAAGACTTTTTAATAAAGTGTGGAGGGGGGCGGGGGCGGAGCTCTTTTGTCGATTATTATTATAATGATTATTATTATTTTTATTATCGTACAATGACCTTTGACATTTACCTTTTTTTTCACGCTTTGCTTCATTCAATATGTATATATAATTATTCAGTTATTTTTTTTTAGATGTAATTATACTTTTTATACTTTTATCAAATCTTTTCCTCTCTCTCTCTTTTCTACTTCTTTATCTCTCTCTTTCTCTTTCTCCTCTCTCTATTTTCTTTTTTTCTCTCTCTGTTTCTCTGTCTTTATGTCTGTTTTTTTCTCTCTTTTACTTTCGCTTTATCTCTTTTCTTTTGATCTCTTCTTTCCCCTTTCTCTCCCTTTGTTCTTTCCCACTCTTTCTATTTTCTTTGCGTGTACTTTTTGTTCTCTTTTTCTCTCTCTCTCTCTCTCTTTTTTTTTGATATTCTAATCAATTTCACTAACTTCCAAATTAAGTTTTTCATTATTATTTTTCTCGTTTTAAACATAATTTTTTTTTTTTTTTCATTATCAAACTCAAAGAAAATTATGTGAAAATGATAATAATAATAATAATAATAATGATTTTTCCAGAATTTTCCATTTGTCACTTAGTGAAAATGACAAGAAAGAGTAAAAGAGAGAAGAACAATTAAATTTCAAATTAAATAAAATTTGACCGAAAAAATTTTTTTAAAAACAATATTAAAGTCAAAAGTAATTGAATTTATTTTTTTCGTAAACAAACGAGACGCGAAACAAACAAACAAACAAACAAGGAAAAAAAAATAATTATTTTACACGAACTCACGCACGCACTTAAAAAAATTTTTTCAAAATGGACGAAAAAAAAAAATTCTTTAAAAATATTCAATTTCAAAAATTCTTTCATCGATTTTCTTTTTTTCTTTTTTTTTTTTTAGGGAGGTGAACCGCCGGGAGGAGGCGGAGAGCGGGGGTGGGGTAAGGCGAAAAGAAAGAGAAAAAAAAAATTTATTTAATTTTATAACGCACGAAAAACGTCAGAATGCGTCAATCGTCACGAAAATGTCGCAAAACTGAAAAAGCGCGAGAAAAAAGGGAAAATTTTCAAATCGCCTACCCCTCCCCCTCCTTCCCACCCATTTCTTCCTCGTTTCGCCCCCTCCCCCGTCACACCTCCACGGCACATCCTATAATTTCAGGTACGGGCGTACATCCATCGAATTAATCATTAAAAATTTAAACATTTTCTCCGCCTCTCCTCCTCTCTCCCCTCGCGGCCCCCCACTCCTCTACAATTTTTTTTTCTTTTCTTCCTTTTCTCATTAAAAATGAAAAAACGTGGTATTAATTTTTTATTACGCGTTGACGACGACAAAAAAGAAGAAACTTTGAAACGAAGTGGAAGTAGAAAAACGAAAGAAACGATAATAAAAAGGCGTCGTGGAAGAAACTTTTTTTTCTTTCCCACTCATTCATTATTATTATTACTATTTTTTTTGTTCGTTCGTTCGTTTTTTCAGTTGGCGTCGAGACAGAGAAGAAAACTTTTTTTTTTTTTTGTTAAAAAGGTAAATTAAGTCATTTTGAATTTTTTTTTTTTTTGAGGGGGGCAGAAGAAGTGGAGGAAAAGGAGGAGAGGAGCAATTTACAAATTTTTTTTAAAAAAGGTAAGTGTTTATAAATATTTGAAAATTTATTTATTTTTTTTTTATTATTAAATTTTATTTAAAAAAAAAAATTAATATAAAAATATAATTTTAATATAAAATTAATAAAAAATTGTGATAATAATAATATAATAATAATAATAATAATAATAATAATAATAATAATAATAATAATAATAATGATAATAATAAAAGAATATCTTATTGCAATGTCATTCGGTAATAAAAAAAAAAAAAAACGTAGAAATGTTGATAATAATAAAAGTATTGTTGTACTTGCGTGTGCTTGTGTGGAAAATAAAAAAATAAAAAAAATTGTCTTGTGCCACGTAATATTTTATTAAAATTCTTTTTTAAACTTTTTACATGTGTTGCCTGCACACGAGACAAAATATTATTAACGTTTTTTTTTTCTTTTTTTTGAAAATTTCTCGAATGATTTATATAAAAATAAAATCGTAAGACGTGTAACTAGAAAAAAAATTTAACCCATTTAATATTCTCTCTTCTTTCGAGAGATCAATCGATATCCGATCGACTGTCATAATTATTTGAACCGAAAAATTAAAAAAAAAAAAAAAACTCGACCGTATTTTTTTTTTATTTTTAATTTTTTCGTTATCATCATCATCATCATCATTATCATTATCATGATTATCATCGTCGTCGTCATTATTATTATTATTATCATTATCTTTATCATTATTATTATTAGGA